TTTGCATCCCCTTTGCTTTCCAGAGTGCCCAGCACAGAGTAGATACATAATAAACATTTATGTTAAATGAACAAATGGATGGAATAGTTATCTCATGAATTCAGGTTCTAAAGCAACTTCCACTAATATTCTGGGTCACTCTGTAAAAAAAAACAACCCACTTGGATAGCTTATTCTAGTTACTATTAAAGAACACTGACTGCCTTATGTATGTGGCCAGTCTTTTCAGCAGTTAAGGATTTTACTTATCCAATATTAAGAATAATGCCTCCAGGGCCGGCCGAGTGGCATGATGGTTAAGAACTGGCTTGGGACGCCAGAGGGCCCCAGTTCGGATCCCACATATGAGGGCCAGTGACACTGCCCTCTACAGCTAATATGCTGAACAACAGCTCAACCTGGAGCTGGGCTGCCGAGAGTCGCCGGCGGAGGCGTAGACTGCAGCCCCTGCTGCAGCAGGTTGCCATGGGCTACCGTGTGTAGCCAGCAGTCAGCATGAGCGGGCCAGCAGCCGCTGTGAGTGGCCGTCCAGAAGCCAGCGACTGATCTGCCTCGCCCGGGAAGAGCGCAATGATGGTGCCAACTTGGGCCAGTGATGCAACGTCCTCCACAACTAGACTGAAGAACAAAACGACAGCAACTTGTCTGTTCCCCTTCCCCCCAATTCCCCAGCACTGTTCCCACCCCCCAATTCCCCCCCCAAAAACTCTTTAAAAATAAAATAAAATAAAATAATAATGCCTCCAGGTGCGGCCAGTTAGCTCAGGTGGTTAGAGCATAGGCTCATAACAAACACCAGGGTTGCCGGTTCGATCCCCACATGGGCCAAGGAGCCGCACCCTCCACACTAGATTGAAACAACTACTTAACTTGGAGCGGATGGGTCCTAGAAAAACACACTGTTCCCCAATAAGATTTCTTAAAAAAAAATAATGCCTCCAATTACTCTGAGGAAAAGAAAACTTATATGAAGATAGTGTGTGTTCCATTTCTTGAAATGTCTATAAAAAGATTTCAGTTCCTGTATGTTAACCTTTTCAGTGACTAACTCAGCGTTTTGACATTTTGGGCTGGATAACTGTGGTGGGAGCTGTCCTGTACATGGCAGCGGCATCACCAACACCCTCCTCCTCCCCATTGTGACAACCAAAATATCTCCAGACACTGCCAAGTGTCCGCTGGGGGTGAGGGTGGGGCAAAATTGCCCATATTGAGAATCATTGCTCTAACCTAATATTAAAAGGGAAGAGTCATTTTCCTGCATTTTGTTCAAAGCTATGGAAACAGGCTTCAAGAAAGAGCATATGTTCTACATTTCTCTTCAGCTCATTGTTGAGAACTTTGGCAGTGACAGCTCTATATATTTGAAATGCTTTGGTTAACAAATCTTCATTATTTTAGGCCACTTTTCTCTTAGAAACAACTGTATCTTTGAAGATGTAAATTCACAAACTCCAAGCATCTTTTTTACACTTACTGTGATCTATGCTGATTCAGCACTGAATTCCATTACAAGGCATTTTTATTTAGTAATTTCTAAGTAACATAGTACAGACCAGCTAAAAGAACTCTGTATGAGTTTATAATATAGCGTTAGCACTACCAGAAGGGTTTTTATCTACTTTATTACAATATTTAAAAAATACCTAAGTAAAACCTGCACTAAAGTAAAATATAATAACCTTTATTACATCCTACTTGAAGATGCTGTCCCTGGAAAAAGAGTCATTATTGCTTCTGGAATTTACTTTCTGCTACCTAAGAATACAATAATAACTCTATTTCTTGATTTATGTTAGATGTTATGTTTTCTGTTAGTGTGTGAGGAATTAGCAATATTTCAATATCCCCTCACTTCTGTTCCTCCATAGTCTCAATATAAACATATTACAATTTTTACTTAAATTGTCAGTGTTTAATGATGAGCCGACAGTGGACCCTGACATCCTTGATGACATCCTCATGCTAATGTCCCCTCTCTTATGATCCATGTGAATAGGTACTTTAAACATGCCTCTTTTTTGTTGTTGCTTTTTATGGTGTTTGGAGAGGGAGAGGACATAAAAGCATATGGCCATCCACATTTAACAGGAAACTAAAACTATTTTTGAAAACTTTTCAAAGATTACATAAAAAGTCTCAAAACTTTATTGTTAAAAGGTAGACGCCCTATTTCACCCTCACCTCTTGTATTTAGCATAAATGAAAGCTAGGTACTTTAAAAAAATTAAGAAATAAGTGATATTAACTAAACTTATTGTGGTGATCATTTTGGAATACATATATCAAATCATTATGTTCAACACCTGAAACTAATACAATATTACATGTTAATTATATCTCAATAAAAAAAATAAATGAAAGGCAGGTTACCCGAAATGCCTCATTTCTTCCCCTTCTGTACACAGGGGGCAGGGTTATCTTTCCTACTTAAGGCTAAATCTGTTCTTCTCTCTTCTGACTGCGCTGAATTTTCCTTTATCTACATGGGCCGTTGAAACTGGGAAATATCAGGCAACCTTGCATCAAGAAACTACATGTTCTTGTTCCATGAAAAATGGTTTTGTAATAAATGTCCCCTGTACCCGAAAAAAAATCTGATTTTTAATTTTTCATAAAAAATGTTTTTATGCCATCATTAACAACCAAGAATTGAGGACCACCCAGGTAATAAAAGCAGAGGATTAAAAAAAGATACCCTATTAACAGATAGACGAATAAGAAACTAGGTGAGAAAAACATGTATTAACAAAGCCTACAATTTAAAAACTGTGGGAATCAAAGTCAAGCAGTTAACTACTAACCAAGATAGTAACAGAGCTTCTTTTGTCTTTCACGGTGAATGCATAATTAGCACTTAATACTAAGACTGGGAATAAACCATTTATAATCTACTAAAAAAGACCATCTGCTTCTATAAATTTTGTTCCTATACACTTGCCAAAAAAAGAGAACATATTAACAAAATAATGGGCCCTGCACTGTTAATTGCTAGGTTGTTTGCATTTGTGCTGTTGCTATTAGAATTTAATAAGCCATTCCTTCTGCTAAATTAATAAGCAGCCAAGATTATGTAATAGCTGTGTTCAGTTGCTAATTATTTTTCCCATAATTCCTTTCCCTCTCTACCTCCGACACCCACCTTTTCTTGCCTGGGAACACCGAAGACTGCCAATGTCAGCAGCAAGTCTTCCGTCCCCATTTTCAGAACAGACCAACATTAGGAGCATGACCAATGAGTTTAAACTTGGAGGTGGTTAGATTAGGAAGCTCGAGAATATATGTGTTTTATACAGAAAAACAGAAAAGCAGCATGTGGATTCAGAGGGTGAGTTTTCGTGGCATGGCATCTGTTTTGTGTATTAAGAGAGAAGTGAAACATTAATATGTGCCTTTTGGGACGGGATTAGTCAGGGAGCAGAGAGAAATTTGGGCAGGGGGCTAAACACCTACAGAAAGCCAGCTGTGCTTTGAGTGGACCACCTCTAATATTCCAGTATACATCAATCATACATGTTAGTAGGACATTTTCCAAGCAACATTAGTAGTGCTTAAAAGAGGAGGTATCATACGTTTTTTTATCTTGCCAAATAAGGGCATTAAAAAAATGCCCGCAAATCCGTATTATATACTATCTTAGTTTTATAGACATTTTAACACGCAGAAAGAACATAATCCCTGATAAAGGATTCCTTTAAATTGATTAAATTTAGCTTCATGAAAAACTTAGCATTCCTTTTTCACTTGGAGTCATTAAAAAATTCTGGCGACTGTGTTTCAAAACCTCCGCAAAAAGGGCATAGCTCAACAAAAGCAATTTTCCAGCTTCCTAAGAACCTTGGTGACGGGTAATGAATAGCATTCGACATGAGAAACCCGTGTCTGTTCAAGCAAGGTCACTTAATCCCGTGGGGCTCCTCTTTGCTCATCTGTAAAAGATAGAGTCGGACTAGACGCTTCATCCATGCTTTCATTCAAAAAACTACGGACATCCATTAGGTGCCAGGCACAATGCTCAGGGCCACGGCTCTTAACAAATCTATCATTTTATAGTTCTTATCAATCAACTCAAATTTATTAGTAGTGTTAGATACCAGGCAGTGACCAAGGTTGGAAAGGAAAAAGGAATAAAATTCACGATGCGCTAAACACAGGCTCATGGGCATGTGGGTGCAAGAGATTCGTTCTTACAGGGTTTGAGGGTGAGGCTTCATAGGAGATGTGACATTTGAGAGAAAGGGCATGCCAGGCAGAGTTAAGTCAAGTCTAAACTGGACCCCAGGCGGCTGTGTGCGTGTGTGGGCTGTCCGCGCGCGTGAAGGAAGCGGGATCTCGAAGAGGAGGTGCTGTCTGGGCTTTTCAGCAGAGAATGGACGGTAGGGCAGCAGCTCCTCGGCACTGAGGATGGGCGAGGTACGCCCAGGGTAGAGACACTTGTACAGCTTAGGGCGACGCGTGTCTGAGGTTGTAGCAGTGGAGGGGAAGGAGGGGCCGGATTGCGGACAGTTTTGAGCCAGCATAGCTGCAAAAGGCCGGAGCTCCACGACAGAGCTGACTTGTTTTCCCCAGAGTTGCAGCGCTCTTCTCCCTCACCAGAATCACCACCTGTCACACCTCCCTGTCCCACCCTCTTGGGGCACGGAGCGTTATCCGAGCTCGAACTCGCTCGGCTCTTCGCATTCCAGACCTCCCCTCCCAGCGGGGTCGACAAAGGGCGCCGCGGAACCCTGTTCCCCCGCAACCGAACAACCAGGGAAGCCCACCGCGCGTCTCGAAGTCACACCCAAGCGTGCGCAGACGCGCCGGGCCCCTCAGAAGCCGCTTCCGGGTCACGTGGGCCGGCTTCCGGTCCAGACCACCCCTCTCGGTAGAGAATCAGCCAATCGGCTTCCTCGCATTGTGCGGTCAGCTGTGCTGCCTCCGGGGCCGGTGGCGACAACCGAGCTTCTTCCCGCGCGACGCCCAGCCCGCCCCTACACCCGCCGCAGCCCCGGCTCCTCCCACGTCCGGCCCCCGGGGCGGGGTCTGTCGGCTCGCCCTCCCCTCGCCGCCTAAGCCTTCCCTCCGCTAACTGGGTCCCCTCCCCACAACCAACACGGCTTCTCTTCCTCAGCTCAGCGACAGGGGCTTCCCCTCAGCCTCAGCCTCGGCCGCTGCCGCGGCCTGCGGCCGCCGTAAGTCCCCAAAACCGAGCTGGAGCGCTGGGGACGGGGAGTGGGGTGGGAGGGTTGGGCGCGCCCCCAGCCGCCCCGCGAGCGCCCCAACGACCCCACCCCACCCCGCGCCCGCCTGGTCCGCCACTGGGGCGCGGCGCCGGGCAACTCACTTTTCTGGGCGTCCGCGTCCCAAGGATGAGGGGGCCGGTCACTGACGCTGCGGCGCCCCCGCGGCACCTGTGGTTCGGGAATCCCCTCAAGTTTTACGGGGCAT